CACTAATTTAATTCCCCAATTAAATATTTCCTGCTCCTTTTTTCTTTCTTTTTTTTTCCTGTGATTTTTGGCTGTGGCAAAATTTGTTTTGGTTTTGTTGTGGATTTTCTTTTCATCCCTCTAGAGTACAGCTATGTGATCTATTAGTAGTTAGCTAGAAGTTGCTCTAGCTTCCTTTCTTCTTCTCCTAGCCCCACAAGAATAACTGTCACCCTCACCAGCTGGTACTATCTGGATTAAAAATAGATATCAGCTGCACAATTGCAAATTTCTCCTGAGGATACCAACAGCAAGAGAGTTGACTAAAATTCTTCATACAAACAGCATCTAAAAACACTTTAGAAATGACATCTCTCTCATCTTCTAAAACTCTTAACACCACTCACTCTTGCCTTGCCCTCAGTATCTATTTCCACCAACTCTTCAGCTGCCTGCTACCAATAAACCTTGATAACTTAACAGGATATAGCCCCATTAAATTGCTGGCAATGGCTGTAAGAGTTTTAACTGCTCAAAAGCAAATCATTAGCCTCTGGCACACCAGGACTCATTTTCCTTTTCACACTTAGATATTTATGAGAGAAAGAATGTCAAAGCACTAAAGAGGTATAGTGCTGTCTTACCTGTAAGAGATTATGAAAAAGACAACCACCTGGTAAAATTTCCATAGAAAAAATGCCTTTTCATTTCGCATAAAATTCCAGGTGCTTAATTATACCTTTAAAATCTAGATATATTAAAACTACATTCTATGCTCACTGTAGTATTTAAGCAGAAACAGGATGGCTTTAAGAATGAAGGGACAATATGGAATGTCAGGGCTTAGGGTTAAATTCCCAGTTCCTTTGCTGACTTTGTGGGTTACATTCAGTAAAGCATTCTTGTATTTCAAATGAGAACAATAATCCTTTTTTTTTTCTCACTTTGTCTCTCATATCACTGACATTTTTAATATGGTTTATTGGGATTTTTTAAAGGTATATTTCATATGTAAGATGAAAACTCAGCAGAGGATAAGGTTTAGGGCCTGTTTTAACAATAGCAGAACAATAGCCTGTTTTAACAATGCTAGTCACCACTTTACCCTCTAATGAAGCAAGATGCAGGGCTGTGCCTTCCCACTAATAGAAGAAATGTAACCCTCAGAGTTTGAACCTCTGTGTTACAGAGATGGGATATTTATATTGTGTTATAACCCCATGTGGTACCTAAAGTAATTAATGTGGTCTGAGGCTCCTAAATGCTATCATAATACAATACAACTAAAATAGCTAAGAATAATGCCATCTATTTTACCATGTTAAAAAAAAGGAGATAATGAACAATCAAAATCAGAAACACAAACACAGACAAAGAAGGGAACCGGGACCAGGAGAATCTCCTCATTCCCTACCATGAAGGGCTGTGCTCTTCATTCACACTGATGTAAACCTGCAAGTGCTGACATACTATCTCACATGGATTCAAGGGACTGTAATTATTTTCTCCCATCCTGATCTTCCTGGAGCTGGAGTGCATGGCCAGTACTGTGCTGTCATTAGACACTGTCAAATGCTGTTAATGAAAATTAGCTGGGTGAGGGGTGGGGGAAGCTAGTGCCCAGACTATGTGGTCAGCAGGGATTTTCAGTAAAGCTGCCTGCAATACTGATCCTCAGCTGATTGTGAGGGTCTGCCTTGGGTCAACAATACATAGATATATCAGCCTGCTAACAATATAGTCAACTGTGTCTCCTTTGAGTATCTTGAAATTGTCAGTGAGAAGACTATTAGCTTCCCTTCTTGGAGTTATTTAAAATAATCACCCTGCCTGTTCTGTGTATCTGCACAAGACACAGAAGGTCAAGAGAAGTCTGCATCAAGCAGTATCCATATTTAAGGAAATAAAGTACTTATCCATTCAAAACCGAAGAAAGACAAGGAGAAAGATAATTTATCATGTCTGCTTAATAACTTAAGAAAACGAACAATGAAATACGGCTTTTAAAATACATACTGTTTTACAATAATTTAATAAACCATGCTGTCATCTCATAAAGAATCTGGATGGTTGCTGTGGTGACAAAGATTATCCTTTTTGCTGCTTGATTCTGTCATTTTTTTAAACAAAAACTCGTAATATTTGGGATTTATAAACAATGTGTCATTGATAGAGATAAATTACATGCTTTAAACTGGCCATGTAAGTCTTCTACGGTATTACAGCCACTTTCTCAACTCAGCAATAAGATATGATATGATTACTAGAAAATTAAGGCTATTTGTCATGAAAGATGAAGCGGAGAGTATCAGAACTCTCAGAACAACAACAACAAAAAATATCCAATAATCTAATGCCTTTCCTTATTTTAAATATTTTGAAGTTAGCAAATAGTCACTATTTTCTATCTTATGAATTAATCCAGAACAGTTTATATTGAGATGAGACTTATTTGTGCTGGGAAAATTTCTGTCGTAATGTAGCAGAATTGATGTGTTCCAGGCTGCAATATTTTATAATGGTTCAGACTATAATGGAGAGTTTGTAAAGATATCTTAATTATGGGATGTTTCACAATATATAAAAACATGTATACACACACTAGTGTATTATGAAGATGTATTTAACTTCAAGGAATTTGTGTATGGTTTTTTGTATGTGTGGTATCCTAATGTAGCAGGGAGTTAGACGAGATTCTCAGTGTGGTTGTCTAGAAAGCATCTTTTTGTGCACCATACTGAAATATTTGTGTAAAGCAAGCTTCACTGCTGATGCAATGTGAGCCTGATTTAGACAACCAGTTGTACAGTCGTTGCTCCATACATATTTTGCAGTCAAACTAGCAATAAATTTCCTAAACCCACAGTAATTTTGCAACCATTTTTCATTAATTTTTTTAATTAAAAAATGTTTATACTTATTTTTTCAAGAAGAATACACCTATTTTCTGTAGTGAGACACATACAGATGATGAAAACACAGCGGAGCTGAGGCATTTTAAGGCAAGCAAGGATTATGTGTCTGTGTGAATGCCTCTACCGGAAGAATATGATTTATCACTTAGTGGGTTATATTCACTCCTGTATGTAGGGTGACCTCTTGAATTGGGTGAGATATGACTCAACTGTATGTTGCAATGTAGAGGAAGTGACTCAGCCTTCATTAAGTCCTCTGAGTCAATGTTTGGAGGCAATCTGGAGCAATGGCATGGAGAATTTCTCAGATGTGCCCAGAATTAGGGAGCAATCCTCCAGCTGTTCTTGTCTTGCACCATTCCTATCACTTACGTTACCCAAACTAGTTCATGCATCCATTTAAGCAGAAGAAATGTCAATAGAAATAAAATATTCTCACATAGATGAAGAAAGAAAAATGATCCACGTTCAGCTGATATACAGTAAATCACTAAAGTATATTTCTTCCTAATCACAGCCTTTGAGGTTTATAGAACAATAAATGAACTACACACCCAGGCTGAAAAGAGCAAGATGAAAAATGAATAAAAAATCCCTTTAGCTTAATGACATCATATAATTAGCTTAGTTATGCTGCCATGCACTAGCGACAAACAGTGGTATGTATTTTACCTGTTCTCACTCTTTATCTTGGTGAAATAAGGTCCTCTATGTGAAGAAAACATAGGATGATGCCATAGAATAGTTAAGTTTTTGCAAACCAGACACAATCATTATTTCAGACACCAAATACTATCTAATAAAAATATTCTGTATTTATTTTCAAGGACTATGCAAAGATTTGGGGAGGGAAAGTTCCATTTTCTACTGGGTTTGTTTGGCAATGTACATCCTGTTACAACCTGAGAAAATAACTAAGGTTGTAAGTGGAAGATTTCGGTTGTCTTCAATAGACATTAAAGAAGCTCCTTAGAGTTGAGATGTAATATGCATAACTTTTTTCTGTTAGATTAACTTTGGGATCAGTGTTCTTTTTATTTAGACCCTGCAGACAAAAAGTAACACTGAAAAACAAGGAGGCACCTCCCACAGTCTAGTGAGATCTGCATTTGCTTTTGTCAAGAATAAATATGATCCAATATTTTATACCAGTTTCCTACTGCAGGAAATATATGCACAATACAATAAAAAAGGCACTCAGTATAGTCTTAATGAATTTATTATACACCTATTAAAAATACCCTTTAAATTTCTATAACTACATACCAAAAAGGCTATGAAAGCTTGATTTAATTGTTTGCTCTTTCTAAAATTCAACATTTTTCATTTTCAATATTATCCTGGTTTTGGAACAATAAGGACAGTAGAAAAATACTTATGGAGGCATATAGCGTAATTTAATATCAATATTATAGTTGAAGATTTTTGTTCAAAAGAGATGGCATAAAAAGTGCAGATAAATGCTGTAGCAGCTTCCTCTTCTAACAAGGTAGTTCTCAGGCTTTGTTATACAGCATGATTAAAATGTCGTTCTCCCAGATGATGATCCCTAATCTGGAAACTTATATCTCTGTAATTTGTAGAGAGTACTGAGTCTACCTTTTATTGTGTATTGGAGATACCAACTCAGTATGTGAGCTTTAAAAATTTTATAAAACATAACAAAAAGAACATTTTTTCCCTTTCAAAGGCAATTTGGAAAACATACAATGCTAATCTTGGTAAACAACTCAAGATACATACAGGAAATATTTAGTAAAAGCATATTTTTTCTGTTTCATGACCAACATGTTTCTGTATACAGATCAGCAAAACCTCTTCTTGCCTTTAAATGTAGCTATATGGCTACTTTTTTCAATTAAAAACAGAATAATTATTAAAGACACTTGATGTTGTGATTTTTATCCATATATATTGTCTGTGTATATATATATAAAATTGAGTGATACTGTATGTAATTCTGAATATGCAGATGATAAAGCCATGGTTCTGCTATAATAATTGAAGCATTAGCACTTTTTAATGTTTTATTATGAGACTGCATCTGATATTTTTGTGTGTGAAAATTATTTTGAAATTGATAAATCTGCATTGCGTTGTTTTCAGAAATTCAAAAAGAGAAAACGGAGAGACACGAAAAACGAACACCAACAAAGGGTAGCTTTGGTTTTTTGTCTGTTTGCCTACATATATGTATGTAATTTACAGTGTCTTTGTTAACTACGTTGCCACCGTTGTATTGTAAAAGCATCCAAAGATCAGTTGGCACTGACTGTAAAAGATCAAAAATTTCTGTATATCTTAGCAGTAACAAAAATAATGTAATTTTATGTTTGTGTGGCTATATTGTAAATGCAAATTCTTAATAAGATTCTCTTAGGCCAAACTTTTCCAGTAATCTTTTTTTCTAGCAAAAGTGCAAAAAGTAGAGTGTTGATGAAAATTCCTCTAGTGCAAAAGGCATGAAGTGTGTTAGGTAAGGAAGAAAATAAGTTTATAGGCCAGTGGGTGCCATCCAAGTTAAAAAGTCATAGTAAAAAGTGAGCCAGGTGTGTATCAGAGATAAGAAAGGCCTCCATTTTAAGAACCTACTCTTTTTCAGACTGTTTAATCTCTTATAACTGGCACTTTCCAAAAATCCACAGAGGAACTGGTTTGGACTGGTTTTCAGAGGTCATGTAAACCAAGAAGTTTCCCTGGGATGTCTGCAGATTTTTTTGCCTAAGAAAGCTCTCCTATAAAGGTTAGGCCACAAAAAACTTGATGAGCATCCCTCTGATGCACCAGTACTGTGCTTGGTAATGGCAGGAGGAAGCAAGGAGGAATCTTATTAAACGTAGTAGTTATGCACATACACTCACACACAATTACATTCATTTTTATATATATTCTTACTATGTTCTTATAGTATTTTACACATCTTGAGCTAGCGTACCAGTTCTGTGTTAATCAGGATCCTCTGGACTGCCTAGGACTGCTTCCCAACTACTAAGTAAATCATGCTGGATCAAAATGAATTTTTTAGGGTACCAGTGGGCTAGCTAGGCAGTAACAAACTCAGATCCATTAGCAAAGGATCCAGTTATGGTCTTTTCAAGCACAATAATCTAAAAAAACAAATGGTGTTGCAGTCTTGACCAGAACAGCCAGTACCATTTCATATATATGGAATTACGCTGGTTTACACTAACCTGGCAGACATGATTACTAAGAAGTTGTAAATGCCAAAAAAAAAAAAAAAAATGTTCAGTTGTCGTTAGTTAAGTCCCTTTATGTATGTACCTGATAATGTAATCTTTAATTATACAATCAGTTACTGAAGCACAAGACAAATAGTTTTTTCTGTTTTGTTTTCATGTTCAGTCCCTAAAATGCAACGTGTATATAGAAGGATCAACTACTAGAAAACATTCTGTCTGGCTTCAGTCTAGAGTGGGATAAAGGCATGAATCTTTAGGGGGATTTTACTGTTGCCTTCTAAAATACCTTCAGGAAATACGTACAAACATGATCTTTTGTTGTTATTAATAGGAAAAATCCAGAGGTAAAATGAATGTTTTTAATAACAGCAAACAACAGAAAGAATTTCAATTCTCCACCCAAACATGTGGGGACAATAGAGTTTTAAAACTAATTTAATTATGTATATATTTTTTAATAGTCAAACCCTTTCATTCCAAGTCCCATAATTTACAAGGGTGTTCCATTCATAAGACTCATTTTGGAAAGATTGAACCAAAATATGAGGAATAGTTGTAATGAATAAAAATCCCAGATGGAAGTGGCTGAACTTATGAGATTCTAACAGTATTGAGAACCAGGCAAACTTGTGCCTTAAAATTTGTTTTTAATTAAATATTTTGAAAAACAGCAATAATGTCCATTTCAATTACTGTAGTAAATTTAATCCTGGAAAGAAGAAATACTGTGAGAAATAACTCCACAAAGCAGTTGGTCATGCTTAAGAACCCTGATATCAAATTATTCAATGATTATGTGTACATATAAGCACAAATTCACTACAAAACAGGGTCTTTCCAATTTGGTATTTGATGTATTAGTACTTTCACAAGGGTCAGTGGCACCCTGGACCGTATGAGCAGGAGTTTGGCCAGCCAGCGGAGGCAAGGGATTAATTATCCCCCTTCACTAAACTCTCCTGAGACCACATCTAGATACTGCCAGTTCTGGGTCTCCCAATTCAGGAAAGATATCCATAAACTGGGGCAAGTTCAGTGTGGGGCCACTGAAGCGGCCAAGGCTGGAGCAGTTGTCCTGAGGGGAGAGGCTGACAGAGGGTGCTGTCTCAGCCCGGGGTAGCTGTCTGTTAGTCCATCATTTTGTGATACTTTGTAGATTTTGCAGGACTCTGAGCTACTACTGAAGGCTGCTTAAAGAATAGGTGTCATAATTATTATTGTTGCTAGCAATGAATAAGCTGTAACTGTGCCTTATGTTGTCAGCAAGTAAGAACAATAATAAAAAAATATCAAGATAAAAGTATATGTAAGTTCTGTCTAATGGAAGGTCCAATGATAATTTCTGATTTTTATGGAAAACTAATTGTCCTGCATTTCTGGGAAATAGCTCTAATTACAACAAGCATTGAGACAAAATGAGAAAAGGTTGATTTACCATGTGTTTTTTCCCAAAATCACTTCACTAATACATTGCTGTTGGAGTAAGGTAAGGAAGAAAACAATACATGATGGCTACCTCTGACAGACATATTTTAAAACAGTAATTTTAGGACAGATACACGTGTACCTCTGGGTTAACACTAGCCGCAATGGGTTTTTTTCAGGAAGTATCTCTGAATTCAGGCTGATTTGACAAATAGAGTCCAGGCCCTTCAAGACTATTTCATTTACTATACATAGCATAATGGCTTGTTAATAAGGCTGTACTGATAATGGAAATATTAAACATGCCAGAATAAAGCTCTCTGTATTTTAGCATATGTATAAATTATGAGATTATAAATACAAATACAGTGTGTCCCAATAATGTAATTTGCTGTAGCCGGAGGACAAAGTATTTGAGACAGCTAAATAGACAAATAGACCTGGACCATATAAATCCATAGTATACTAGAAACCTACATAATTTGACCAAGTTAGCAAATTAAATGGTGTATTTTTAACACGGGACTGTCTAGCCTGAATTCTCAAGGTACAGCTACAAATGTGACTGCATTAACTTTAAACCAGAGAACATGGTACTGATAGTGATGTAGCTGTGGTTTCCTTAAATTACTGATTTGGACTTGGGAGTCTATGCCCCTCTCCAGACAAAGCTTTTTTTTTTCAGTGTTCCTTCAAGAAGAATTAAGTTATAGCCATCTACAGTTACTTTACTTCCGAATGAAAGCATCTACACAGAGATTTAATGCTCTCTGACTAATGCACTGTAACTTCATTGTATTAGTTCATTTATCTTAACTTTCCTGAGAGTGCTGCTCTGTAGACAAGCACTTAGTCAGTTAGCTGGAGCAAGCAATCTCTGCTTCATGCTTACTGCACTCATCACCTAGCTTTATACTAAGCAGCAGACTTAAGGCTTACTCAGATGGAAACTATTTTTACTTCCCTTCGGTATGGAACTAGTGCCTACTTACTACATCTCTTATTTTTGCACTTTCTGTTTTAAGGTGTGGAATGCCTTTGTGGAGAACTTTACGGGAAAAAAACTAAATCATATCCCCCTTTACTATGTCTTCAACTTGATGCAAAATGATGATAGAAATTTGGAAAATCCTCTCATATATATGCTATGTTTCTTTTTTTTTAATTTTATGTGAAATAGATAGCAATATTAACTTTGGAATACATTGTTAAATTACCTTAAGATTTTCCATAATGAGCTCCTATTTTAGATTATTTATAAATTTATCATACTCCAGTCACTGAGGATGAAATTTCTCATGCTCATCTTTTTGCCTCTGGCTGAATTTTCATTCAAAGACATATAAAAATGTATCAGCAATTTCCAAAATCTAGGTTAGTGAAAATTAGGTTGGGGTGTTATATTTTTTTCCAGTGCTTATAACAGTTCTTCTGAGTTTATGACTTTTGGTATTTGCGAAGAAGTACGAGAAAATTTCTTTTAAGTTGTGGAAAATTTTTAGCTTACACAATTATTATAAAACATGTTTTACTTATTCTTCTTAATATTTTTTCTGGATGAATCCAGCATCCTATTAACAAAAGAGAAGAGGTGATCTTTAAATTACAAAGTGTGTCATAAAACAAATAGAATTGTTGAATTAAAGTCGAATGAACAGGTTTAGCTTCAGCAATTTTCAGCTGAAGAGTGTGTTATTGAGTAACCTTAAAAATATTTTTTTATGCTTTCTTTTTTTCCTTTTTTTTTTCTTTTTATATATATGGAAAAGAAAATCTGTTCAAGTCTAATTTGTTTCACAGTATGATCAACCTGGCTTATTCTAAAACCTAATGCTTGTACCGAGTGCTGCAGGTTTGAAAAGGCATTTCTTTACAAAGAAATAGATATCCAAGAGACAAAATCTGGAAAAGATCTATAGACAGTAATGTATTTTCTATGACAGAGTTTTTAGGACTATATATGAAACTGAACACAAAAACATTTCAGGGGAGAGTTAATATGCTAAGAAATATCATATTTAAATTTGTCAGATCAAAATCTTCAGTGCATTTTGGTGGACTTACGATTGAAGAGTCAAAAATGGCCAGTCATCACAGCTCTGAAACATGAACACTTTAATTTTTGGCAGCACCTGCCCTTCCCAAATTAGGGAAGCCATAGCTCTGACAGTGTCCATAAGAGGTAATGGTAAACATTACAATCTGAGATTAGCAACCTCTGAGGCTATGGGTATATCAACACACAGGATAGGGCTCTTGAACTAACCAGAGATCACCTTCGGCCTATAACTGGGAGGAGAAAAATAGCTTATGCTTATGCCAGCCTGGTCTCTACTTATCAACATTCCAGGCTCCCTGCCCAGATACATCAAGGTTTTTATTTCTCAAGAAGGGGCCAACTGATGCCTTCTCCACCGTTTTAGTTCTAGTCCACACCAATATTAATAACTTTATACATCTTAGTGCTTTATACTGCTTTGAGGATGCGAAGGAATCTTAATTTTTTCTGTCCACTTTCAGATCTGCTGACGCTCAATTCAGTTAGTGTCATTCAAGGCTCATTTTCTGGTGTTACGTTTTTTGTTTTGCTTTGGGTTTTTTTCTCCTCAAATCATGCCCACAACAGTCTCTCTTACACAAATAAGATATCATGTGGCTAAAAACAAGCTTTCTGATTACAAGTCTGTTCTGAATAGTTCATCTGTGTTTTTTGGCATAGACACTACAAGGACTTTTGACTGAATGTGCAAAAGCTCATGTTTCACTTACGTGGATCATCACAGAACTGTTATTAGCAAAACTGTTCTATTGCACCAGCCAAAACTGACAATACATTGGTTTGAAGTGTTTTGCACAGAGCCAGCATCTGCTAATACAAATGTAAGATGTAAAAGCATGCTACAATTTCTGCAAAAAATATTCAGTAAGTTCTACATGGTATATATAGAGAAGAGAATGATTTTTCTTTGGTATGCTACTAGATGTCCTAAAGCACTTGAATGAGTTACAGTCTGTAATTCATTCAATAATACATTGCTGGTACTGCTGCATTTTTCACAGTCTGATTTTTTTTAGTGTAAATTTGCTGTCCACATTTCTAAAGGCTTTGAAAAATCTCCCTTCAATCTCTTTCGACTGTACTGCTATTTGTTATCAACAATAATTTACCTGTTAGGACTGGAAATGTATTTAGATAATGCAAACACATATAAGACATAATGAATTTACTGAATGTTCTGAATTATTTTTCTTATGGACAATGACCTATTTTTTTAGTGCAGAAATACTTAACAAGTAATGCTTGTACTTCTGTGAAATGATGTTTGCTACAAAGCTGGTAAAACGAATGGATGAAAAAGCATTAATATGCTTGTGTATAAAACTCACTGTTGTCTTCTAATCAAAGTTTTGCTTTCTGGGGTTTACTTGTTAAGAGAAACTTGAGTATTGAGAAGAAAATAATTTTTCCATGAAATTGCAAAATTCTAGTCTTTTAGTAGTACAAGTTGACAAGGAATGACAAAGAATGAAATATCTACCTAAATCATTAAGATGTGGGATAGAGCCACACCAAAAAGCTGCATAGGCAATAGAGTCCATAAGGACTCATGTTTGCCTGCTTCTAGCAGGACATACAGTCGGTTGTGTTTTGAACAGCTGCTCTTCTTGAAGTTATACTGATTAAAAGAGATGTTTTCTTGTTAATCTACCCTGTGACGGAAGTAGCAGCTAAAAATAAAGAAAAAATAGCATAGAAAGTAATATGCTGGCAGGTTTTTTGGTTAAGAATAGAAAGCAATGCTGTCAAGGACTGAAAATAATTTCTTCTGTCAGAAATCTTAGAGCCAGGGTGCTTGTGTAATGGGACCAAAACAGATCAGACAGATTGGATTAAGGTTGCTGAATAATCACTTCTTTCAGAAAAATATAGTCTAACATCTGAAAGCTTATTCAAAGAAAAATATTTCTCTTGGACCTGAAATTAAACATTGACATTAAGAAGGTATATATATCATCAAGTACCCATTACTCAGAGCTAAAATCCATTATTTGAATTTACAAATGCTTTTCCTTGATAACTTTTGTGAGATAATAAGGGTATGTAATACCTCTAGATTATAAATTCGTTGTGAGCTGGGTTGTATTTATTTATTTATTGTTTGTTTGTAGCAATTCAGAGAGATAAACCTGAAAAACAAGAAAAAATTGAGAGGAAGGAACCCCTAAAGGGTATGTATTCAGCATTTTACATTTTTTATCTTTTTACCAGTGGTTCAAAATAGTCTAATCTATTGACTCCTAGACTGTTCTTGTAGATCCCAATTATGTTTAAGGACGGAGGAGGTGTTGTGAAAGCCAGCTGGAAGGAGAACAAGGACTTTAAAAGCACTTTGAATTCATCACTGCACAAAAAGTCTGAAATTATATCTGGAGACTAATGAATAAATTTTTACTGCATTATTAACTTATGTCAAAGATGTCCAGAGGATAAATAGGTGCCTTTTTTATTCTTACCAGAGAATCACAGAATATTTTGAATTCTTTAATAAATCCAAGCATGATATTTGTCATTGAGAATACTCCTAGAAAAATGTAATGAGTAAGTTACAATATACTTGTCCCTGGAGATGTTCTACTTTGGAGACCCTCCTTAGAAAAAAAAAAAAAAAATCCTTCGGATTCCTTTCAGAGATATTGGGGACAGGTTTTAGAGAGATTTATTAATTTTCTGTTGGTGGTGCATGCCAACAACTAATTAAGATCTGCCTGTTGCAGGAGTCAGAATCAGGATACAGCTTACTCTCCAGCCATGACTCATGACTTAGCTCTGGGTTCCAAGAGCTACCGTCTCACCATTGCCTTTTGTGAGGGATATTGTAGCAAAATGAAACTTTGTTGTAGGGTACCTAATTGTCGAAACAATTTAAACCTTCTGAGAACATGTCCTTTGCAACAAATGTGGCTAATGTAGTCTTGGGCTGGAGGAAGAAACACATTCTGGAAGAGCAGATAGGCCAGTGGTCATAATAAATCACCCCAAAAAAGGGAAGACTGAATATTCAGCAACAGCAAATTTATTCAGGCCAAGAACACAAGTCTCACAACTTGAGTGAATGTACATTTCCTGAAATCTGTGTTTGACTAGTTCTTTCTAATGATCTCTGATTAAAGTTTTCCCATTTTATATAGGTAACTCAAAAAGCATTGAGTTAACAAGACTAAATTTAGAAGTTAAGTGCAGGCATATAAATTTAGGTTTCTGATGGAATGAATATTTATTACTAGAAAATGGAATGGTGGTAACATGAGGAATTTTTTCTGAAATTTTGAGAAATGACATTACAAAACCAATAATGTCCGATATTAAAATATGAATGTGTCTTTAGGAGTTCAGTTATTATGTGGAAAACAGGAAACTCTTCAATTTGATTTCACAAGAGAACAATATTTAATGTTTTTTTAAGTTTCTTGAAACAGGAAAAAAATTATCCCATCCAATCTCAGACAATCAGTGAAAAAGAATAATGCCTATTATGCTAGAATCACAGAATATGCTGACTAGGAATGGACGCACAAAGATCATTGAGTCCAACCCTTAGCCCTGCACCCATTCTCAAAAGTCACACAATGTCCCTGAGAGTATCATCCAAATGCTTCTTGAACTGTCAGGCTTGGTGCTGTGACCACTTCTCTGTTCCAGTACCCAACCCTCTGGGTGAAGAACTTTTTCTAATATCCAACCCAGACCTCCCCTGACACAACTTCAGGTCATTCTCTTGTGTCCTGTCACTGGTCACCACAGAGAAGAGGTCAGTGCCTGACCATCCTCTTCCCCTGACAAGGAAGTTGTAACTGCACTGAAGTCTCCCCTCAGTCTCCTCTTCTTCAGGTTGGACAGACCAAGAGCCTCAGCTGCTCCTCATATAGCTTCCTCTCAAGTCCCTTCACCATCCTCACTGCCCTCCTGTAGATGCTCTCTAATAGCTTAATACCTTTCTTATACTGCATTGCCCAAAACTACACACAATATTCAAGGTGAGACTGCACCAGTGCAGAGCAGAGAGGGACAATCTCCTCCCTGGACTGGCTGGTGATGCTTTGCCTGATGCCCCCCAGGACACAGTTGGCCCTCCTGGCTGCCAGGGCACTGCTGACTCATATTCAACTTACTATCAATCAGGAACCCCAGGTCCCTCTCCGTGGCACTGCTTTCCAGCATCTCATTCCCCAGTCTGTATGTACATCCAGGGTTGCCCCATCCCAGGTGCAGAATCCAGCAATTTCCCTTGTCGAAATTCCTATGGTTGATGATTGTCCAGTCCTCAAATTTGTCAAGGTCTCTCTGCAGGGTCTCCCTGCCTTCGAGGGAGCCAACAGCTACTCTGAGTTTTGGGTAATCTGCCAACTTGCTTAGTATCTCTTTCAGTCCTGCTGACTTAACTCGCCATGATTCCTATTAATATTCTGTTTACCTAATGGCATTTTATCTTAAAGTTAACATATTAGTTTTGTTTAGTGAAATATTGTCATAATTGCTCCTGAAACACTACTGTGTGTAGAGACTCGCTGTATTCACTAAGAAACATTGCTTTCAGACTGTACATTAAATTTCAAAACAATGACTATGGATATGTATTTTTCAAAGTCCCATTTCACTGTAGCATGACAGGAAGACTCCAGAGACTGCATCCCTGTATTTCGACTGCTTATTTTCTACTCTAAACACATTCTCTTTTCAAGATATAGATAATGGAGAATGTAAATAGCATTCTATTCTAATTTATAATCAAATTCTGTGATGAAGTTTAGGAAAGTTCTTTAATGACACAGGGACTAATTAGAAGGGTCTCAGTCACTTAGACTGACTTGGTCAGCTGTGTCAGGAACCCATTTTCATGTATTTCATCACTATATTGCTGAAAAAATGTGAAAGCTGGAATATTCCCTGCCATTCTTCTTTTGCTTCCATTTAGATATGGAATTCATGATACTGTAATGGAAGTTCATTATTTCCCCATGTTTGTCAAAGAGAGTTTTCCTAAACTTGAATGAAATCTTCACAGGAGTTAAGGCTAGCTTGCAGTTTCACAGCTGACTTTTCTGAAGTGTTCTAAAATCTACATGTTTATTTTTAATTTTCTGGAAAATTATAGTGTAAAATCTTAACAAAAATGAGTGTAAAATATGCTCTGAGTGGACAGCATAATGCAGTTTCCACTGTCATAATGCTAGTCTTCACTTTTTTTTGCACATACTGGGTATCTAATTATGGTTCTGAGATCATCATTGCCAGGGACTGATCTCAGCTAGTGTCCATTACTAGCTATCCGTATCCATTACTGGTTATCCATTTCAAGTCATCTGGCAAGTGATAGATGCCTCATTTGTGCATGTGATGCTCTTATGCTCCAGGATCCATTCCAGGAATTTTAAAACCTATGTCTGACAGAGTATGGAGTGGACAGGGTGAAATCCTCTTTCTATTGCAGGCAGCAGCATTTACTGTGAGCTCTGCCTTAGTCCTCAACAGTTTTCTGAAAATCTCTCTTCAGGAATTGACAGACAATTGCAAGAGATGATGTTACTGTAATAAACAGCTGAGGCATGTTACCATGGCAGTAACTTGTTAGCCAGAGTTGGCTGCTAACACCCATGAAGTGTGATGTATGCTGTGCAAATATGCATGGGATAGCTCAGGAGTAACACAGTGTGCCATTTTGTCTCCTAAGGCTTAGGAATTATTTTTGATTCTTAAGTTTTTCCACTTTTTTTTTTTTTATATATATAACACTTTCTTTCCTAGTGACACATAAAGACAAACCGGAAAGACAAGAAAAACTTGAAAGAAAGGAAAGGCATGCAGGTAATTATTTAATGTCAGATTTTATTTCACGTTTGGAGATATCCCAGAACTAATTCTCTACTCAATTTCTATTTATGTATCCCCCTTGATTGGAAAAAAAGGTATAGAATAATATGAATAAAAATTATGAGATTATATAAAGGTTTGTGGACTTACAGACCAAGTAGCATTTTGTATTCCTCCTGCAGGTTTTTTAGGGTTTTTTATGAAGAATGGAGATAATATATTTTGTACTCTGGATTAGTATAATCTCATGGTAATTGCTGAGTGTTTCCAGCACTGGCAATAAGTATGGTTGCTAAGAGACTATGGTCATCCAAGAAAAAAACACCTGATAGACTGTAAACAAAGGTAATGAGGCAGGCCATGAGAAAAAAAAAGCATTTTAAATACAATACCTTGTATGGACATTTCAAAGGCATTGAATAGGGCAGGATTAATTCTTTCAGTATTTACTTGCAATAAAAAATATCTAGCACTGTTTTATCTTCCACGGTTCTTGCTTTCTTTTTAAACACCAACACAATGCTCATGCATACATTTTTGTGTTCTTAATATAATCTTATATATCAGAGTCAAACAGAGAGTTGAGTGTTTTCACACCCGTGGTCCCTCTAGGGAATAGGAGTATATGCAAATATCGGTTCTGCATACTTGTGGACAAGTTACTGTGTAAACATTAATCGCAAAAAATTAGCAAATCAGAGCCCACATAGGAGAATATTCCAGACTACCCACCACTCTGTGACTACTGTGCAACTAAGGTGTATTTTGAAACCTGAAATCTAGTCACTACAGTATAGATAATTTGAATTTGTAAAGTGTAAATTAAAAGCAAACAAAAAGCCCCAAAGAGCATTAGTTATAATGTCATTGCAACTAGATCTGTAATTAATTATAATGTTAATCATTCGTAGCTGGAAAAACTGCTAGTTGTTCTGTGGGGTTCAGCAAATTCTTCAGATATTAACCAAAGTTATAAACAGGAAAGCTCAAACATAACAATAAACTAAAATCAACCAATAAATTACATTATACAAATACATATTAAAGAAAAAAGAACCCCTAAACAATATCCATAAGTATGACTCTTCTTGACTAGTTTCTTTCACGGGATTACAGTTGAGCTAGAAAGGCCACTCCTCCCCCAGCCAGTGGCAAAGACCTCAGGAATGGTAGAAGAATTTTTGAAAGTTCAAATCTCATATTTTGGCATCAAGAGCAGACAGCAGCAGCTAAATCAATCTTTCGCATTCTTTGCATGGATAACCCTGGTGCCAAGTTGTGCTTCTTCATCTTTTTTTCTCCTCTTTCTTCTTAAAATGCAACTTTTCTCTTCCTAAATGGTCATTAAGAATGTTGGTTTTTATTTCTAGCTATTCACAAAGACAAACTTGAAAAGCCAGAAAAACCTGAAAAGAAAACACCTACTAAAGGTAACACAGATTGTCTTCAGATATTGCACAATTTTAGATTTTCAACGCTTACATAGTGTAGGAGAGTGTGGAGATGAGTATTTAAAATATAAATCTCTTTTAGTTCATGCTGTACATTTTTTGGGTGTTCTCGCTTCTGCTTGAGCAGGTCTTGATCAGCCTCTGAGTGAAGTCTTGCTCAGCATATATCTCTTGCTTAGCTCTCATTTTGATGGACAGAGTTAATTACAAATCATTCTTATACAGCTAAGGAACTAAGCCTATTACTATTTTATTTGCATTCCTTGATGCCTTTTCCTCAGCAATGGGATTCAGTAATTTACCTGCAAAGTAGGTTTTCTCTTGTGTATCAGTTTTCAATCTGATGCAGACCTAATGCAGGAGTGTTCACTGTCTCTCAGTCTGGGTTTTCCATCATATCCAAAAATAGATTTTCATTTTCTTGCTTTTATATTTTTCAGTAACATTTTAATTTCAGTACACGATTTGCACTGTCCTCCATGGTAGAAGTGGCTTTGGTTAAGATTTATATATCAACTAATTATCATATATATTCTAAAGCAATACTGTGTGTGTGCAAGAGGTGAATTTCACTATTTTTTTGACTGATAATTCCATCTTAGCTACAATATGGACAGGGGATTTAAAAATCCAATCACCTTGCCCTATTATGCCATTTTTTAAAGACTAACATTTATTGTTGCTTGGCATTTGAATGTTTTTCTCTGAGGTTAAATATTTGTCTGAGGCAGACACTTCTTTAATGAAGTTTAGTTTCAGTCTTTGCCTCTTTTTACTTTACTCAGTTAAGTCTTGAAAACACACTATGCAATGTGTCAGTATTGGTCTGTTATGACATTCAGATTACTTTCATGATGATGAGATACATAAATTAATTAGGTTTAATTTTAATCTGTTCAGACAGTACTTGACCGTACTCTATGGAGAAAGGTAGAACAGAAGGTAGGAGTGAAGAAAAAGAGAAAGCAGAATGGAGACTTAAAAAATTTGAAAGGTAGCCATTGTCCAGTTTCTCTTTTAAAGGGATATTTGTTCATTTTTTCTACTTTCACTGTACAGCTTGAAAATGTAGAGTTGGGTTTTTTTCCATAAAACAAAATCACACTGAAGTAATCCAGAGAAAATAAATGCCCAAAGCGTCTGTGTAGATCTGAAAAGCAAATAATTTCCAAGAATCACTGAGATAGCTGATAATGAGCAGCCAACCTGTTTACCCATTTATCTTCTGCTAGCTAACCAAATAATCACTTAGAGCTTTAATGTGTTTAATAACAGCCATAACTCCAGTCACTGGCTGAAAAATTTTATTAAGACTTTGGATACTTTGTAGCTGAGGAGATTTACTGCTGCAATCTGACATACAGTCATGCTGCCCTCACTTGGGTAGTTTCCCTGCTGTGTGAGTCCCTACAGGTGGACTCAGGGCAACAGGGAAGTCGTTCTCAGTGTACTCAAAGGTGCATTTCTTCTAGCAATGTGCTACTGAGTTATCTATTGCTAGGCTCACCTTCCTTTTCTCATGGGTCTGCTCTAAACTAGATCAGCCACTAGCAGTGCTGAGGAGCTATTTCAACCACTTGCAGTCCCTAGGAAATGAGGATATTCAAGTCAGGCCAACCTCAGGGAATGGGTATCCTGAAAATTGGCTGCTTCCCCCACATTCAGCAGATTTTCTCTATTCTTAAAAAGACCAAAGGTAATTCTTCAGCCTCTATTAAAGGCTCCAGAAAGCCTCAGCGATATGAATGTTATTTAAACACATCATCTAAGAAACAGCTATCTTAAAAAAAAAACAAACCCAAGTCTAAATATCAGTCGTAGCTCATACAGGCAGCAATTCCAGGATGGAGTTCAATTAGACAGGATGTTGTTATTATGTAGTTGTCAGTTGAAACAAGTGTAATTAACTCTAAAGGCTGTTTTGTTCTGGCGATCTGTCTGGATGGTGACCAAGAGGGGAAAGATAGAAGTCTCTGCATAAAATTTTGTCAGCCTTTCTGCAACATAGCAGTGTGTGTTTACACAGCATATCCTGTGCAGACATGAACTCACTCAAGCCGGGCTCTGAAGTGAGTGCCAGACTCGTGGTTGTGTTTGTGCAACAATGAGCCCAAGCTAAGAAAATCACCTTTCTGTAAGACAAATGTAGTCACATGGCTTCTTTTTGGCTGGAGTACAAGAAGATCAAGTCCGTGTATTCTTGGAACTTGAGAGGAGCAAATTCATATCTTCTGAAATATGCAGTATAAACGTTCCCAGTGAAGCTTGAGATCTGTGTGACTCATTTGTCTTCTGGTTAGAGACTCTCAAGAGATATTTTGAAGCTTTTTACCCCACTATGTGGACCTGAGAAAAAGAAGCAAGAATTTTGAAAACTGAAAAGCAGGAATTATAAGGAAATGGGAAATTTCCAGGGATATTGCTCTGTTTTTGCAATATTTTCTCATTCTTTGTGAGGTCTTTTCCCTAACATACAATTTTTCTCATTTCTAGTAACTCAAAAAGACAAACCTGAAAGACACGAAAAAGCTGAAAAGAAACCTCCTCCCAAAGGTATTTATTTATCTATATTTTTTTAAACCGAATTTACATTAAAATGCATAAACATTATTTTATTCGAGAGATTTTCAATATGCATGAAAAATCAGTTACATGAAACTAAAATGAAATTAATACATAATTAGATTTAAAATGTCTCTAGAACATCCAGGGATTAATTCTATGCTTGATCCCCTTTCAAATCTGTTAAAATTTCAAAGATTAGAATTAAAAATATGGACCACCATTTCCCCAAAAAACTAGGCCTATCTGTACGTGATCTGACATATATTTTCACTAAGGAAATTAATTCTTCACTAGCCAGCAATACCTGTTTGTGCTGTGGCTTTTTTTGGGAGGAGAAACACTCTTACCCAAATATCTACATTCTGATCTATAATACTTAGATCTATTCTGTTAACATATTGATAAAATCAGTCTAGTCAGCCCAGTGACTTAATAGAAATAGAAGTCTAGAGCCTTACGGAAAACACAGGTTTGGTCACACAAAAATTTTGCCTCAAAGATGAAGACATTTAGAGCTATGAAGAAAATAGAAATATGAACATCAAACTAAAGGATTAGTTTAAAACATATTCAGTGGCATTTTATAATACTACTGGATTTTTCACTGGAGTAAACTAGAAACACACATATTGTCAATATCCACGTTTCAGATGAGAAAAAAGTTGCTGACACACAAAAGCAGAGGGAATACTCTAGATCTCACCAAGCCCTGTGTAACTTCAGCTACTGATATTTAGAATTAGGTAATTCTCTTTGGAAATCTCCTTGGTCTCCTGCAGTGCACCTTGTGAATTGGTCCCAGACTAGTCTTTTGACCTGGGGGACTGGTGTAGAGACAGATTCAAGAACTCAAGACTTCTTGGACAAAGATGGACAATCAGTGCATGAAAGCGACCCTTACAAATAGCCACACACTAACTACTTTTCCAGCTTACAACAGAGTTTAACTCTGATCTCTGAATTTTAAATTTACTCAGATTTTACCTGGAAGTACCTTCTGTATTTGTTTGCTTAATGACCAACATTTGTCTCCCTAGTTTATACCCTAATAACTATCATACTGTCATTAGAAACACTTGATATTATTTGCCATAGCCTACTTCATTTAGTATCAGTCAAGTACTTGGTGAAGGACTGAAGTTAAAACCTGTTTGCATCTCATATTTCTGTTTAAATCTGTCCAGTTTGAGGGGATTATAGTTTTCATCAGATCTGATCAAGGTGTTAATAATGAAGAAATGCTGATTAGTAATAGCACAGTATAAAATAAATGACACTGAGTATTATTTTAGGGGGAAAGAATGACACAATTCTTTTTCTTTATTACCTGCAGAGGAGAAGAAAGTAAAGAGCACTAAAGTGGAAGCAAAACTTAAAAAGGAAGTGAAGGATGGAAAAGGAGAAACAAAGGCGGTCGAGAAGGTCAAGCAGGCAGAGATTAAACCAACAGAAACTGGGCTAATAAAGGCCAAAACGAAAGTTAAGGAAGAGAAAGCTCTTCAGACTGTAACTAAATCGGACAAGAAAGGTAAACAAAATGAGGAGGAAACAGATGAAGATCTTAGAAAGGTAGTAGGGAAGAAGGAGAGAGAACAGAGTTAAAGCTGTCAAGGACCAAAGTCTGCCCATGAAAAACAAAAGTGCAGTACGAATAAATTCCAAATGAATCTCACACTGCTAGGAGGAGACTACTGAAAATAAAATAAGTTTCATACACATAACAAGAAGATTCTAACAGTTTGTCATGGCTAAAGATTCATTTTAATTTAAATCCTTCTTTACCAAGGACCAATTTCTCTTCAGATAGTCTGAGACTTCATGGATTTGCTCAGTAGCATTTTATATAATGGATTTCTAGTAGAGTTATATTGGAAAATACAAACCGTCCAACGACCTGTTGGGAATTTTGTTTTGTTTCTACATCTGCACATGTCCTTTGTAATGATAAAGGAAGTAGCAACAGAGAAAAGGGAATGTAATAATTTATCTAATATCATATTGTATGAGGCACTGTCAGGTTGTCAGGAAACGTATAACATAGTGTCATACCTGCCTGATGTAATTTAATGTGAAAGCTTTTAAACTTCTCCTAAAAGAGAAAGAAATGCTATTACTTTGGTAAAAGGAAGAAATTAAGTGATAAAACAAGGAATCAACATGCATCAACACTATATAGTTAACAAAGGTGTTAACTATATGCTCCCCTTTTTCAGAGCAAGTCTGGGTTCTTCTACTCACAGGTTGCACTGATTGATTCTCTGATTTCCCTGTGGCCCTTTCATGGCATTAGATACAATTTTGTATAAATGCAGGCAGCAGGACCTGGTTTTCTGTATAAACTGCCACACTGCAGCCACGGGATTTTTTTACATTGATAGGGGCAGCTCAGTGTTGCATGACACACCTATCTGATCGTTTCAGCTGATCACCACAGATAAAGCTGTGCCTGAGCATCAACGAAGCCACTCCTTACTGGATATCTGAATCTGCCTGGGCAGATTCTCTCAGAATTTCATAACCATCAGCTCTGGACCCCTTGGGAGTTACCTAAATTATATGTTTCTGGAAAACTGAGAGACGTAGCCCACTTTCTGACATGCACAAGGTACTGAACTAGCATTTTTTCACAGTATTCCAGATAATTTTGTCTTTTGTTTGAAATATGCAGGCCTCTGAGGCATGAAATCACAGCGGCATTTATCACACTGATTGCTATGATCAAAGAGAAAATTCAGCAAATTCTTCAGTTCCCGTGGGAGGTGCAAATCTCTTTCAATTTTTGTTTGCTGTGGCAGAGTTTCAGTGCACAAGGGATCCAGCCCATACTGTTCAGGATAAAGCTCTCAAAAAGAAATGGCGTACACATGAGGCACTTTACTCCCAGTAAAATATTTTAAGTAGGGATCGAAGATTACAGAGATCAATAGAGAGTAGTGGTGGTTTTTTGTTTGTTGGTTTGGTTTTTGTGGGCTTTGCACCACACACCTTCACCATTTTTAGCTGATAAATATTAGCAAAATGATCCGTCTTGACATCAGACATTAACAGATCCCTTTGTAAGTCTGCTTTGGAATGTGACCCCAGTGACTCTGCACAGAATTCCATTAGGTGAAAGTGAGAATGAGCAGCTCGAGTGGTGGAAGGAAGGAACCTCTTCAACTGCCCTTATCACTGGAGATAGGGCTACACACATCCAGTGAAAGCTACCTTTTCTAGTCGTCCTTCCCTTTTCCACCATAAGCCACTGCTGCCCATCTAAATACTCTCAGAAAATTCATTTCTATGTTTCAGTCCCACTGTGATCCAAGGTAAACATAATTTTAAATTCAATGCAGTTTTACCAAGATTTCATGACCTTGCAATCTTTACTTTTATTTGGTCAAGGGGGTAGTTCTGCTGGCTTATCCGAAACAAAATAAAAAATATAGCACTAATCACAGAAAGTTGTTATGATTTCCCTGCTGTTGCATCATTTCTTACTCAAACTGAAATTAAAAAAATATAGGTTATCTCTCTGAGTAAATCACATGAAGTTCAAGAACAGAAATATCTTTGAGTATTTTTATCATTAAGAATCTAGTCCCAAACTTTGACATGATTTATTAGCACTTAGATGGATATTTGGGCCACCATTACAGAGTTATAAGGTGAAAATTATAGTGTGAAAATCTCCTTTTTAATAAGGGTGTTTAAATTAAAAGGGATTTTTAGCCATGAAGAGACATATGAAAAATCATATTAATTTAAAATTTCTTAGATTTCAATTTTTGCTGATTGATAGCATTCTCATGAACTTAAATGGGATGTTATAGAGCACCTTGCTAATTCATATACAGTAGAAATTATATTTTTGTTATTCAGAGTTTTACGTTATGCCTTCAATTTCTTTTATAAATCCCAGTTTTTAGGGGGTGAGTTGCTAAAGAAATCCTACGTGGAGAAAATGAATATAAAATCTTTGTTCTCAGGTACAATCAAGATTAAGGCTTTTTTTTTTTAAGTTTATTCAAATTACATGTACAAAAACAAAACAAAATAAACAAACAAACAAAAAAGAAACTAAAAAGCCCCCCAAAAGAAAAACAAACTTAAAATAAACAATGAAACCCCTCACACGCATAACGAATAACACAGTCTGTTTTATTCCTGGACTATATTACTATGTTGAAAGAATGGAATATTTTAATATCGATGAAATTGTGTGATTCTAGGCCCTCAGGCTGTGTTTATATCATAACTTATATGGAAGTAACACAGGCTTGCACTCTCTCCTGTGATTGTCCATATAGCTTATTGTCCCCTGCCATAGTTTTGTACCATGCCATCCAGCAGACTTTTGTACAGACATTTTACCCCAAAATGGTCCAGGGGATCTTCTCAACAGGCAGCATGGATAAAGGCAGCTTGTTTTGGCAACAGAGAGGTAAGGAAAACAGCTTTTTGAAAAAGAACTGTGCCCTGTCATTAGCTTTGTGGGCTGAAGAGTTGGCATTGCTACATTTTATTTACTAGTACTCATTGAGGTCTGAGTTGCAACTGTGCCACTGCTGACTTCAGTGGCTTTAGGTGGGTTTAAGAACACAGATCTGTATATACTGGTTTTCTCACACATATGCTGCTACTTTTTTTTTTTTTAATTATCATATAGACCTAGTTCAGACATTACAGCTTTAAGGAAGTAATCCAAAACTGAAGCCAGGCAAAAAATGATAAATTTGAATTCCTAAATATGAAAATAAAAATCATGAATAGTCATTAGAACAAAAACAATGTTTACAGCAAACAGCTCTGTGTACATTCTGAAAATTTTGCCCAAGGCTCTACATTATTGACTAGTATTACCCTTGTCATCTCACTAACACACACATCCAAGGACTTCTATGACAGTCAACACAGCAGCAACTACATAAATGCCTCAGCATCAAATGATACTGATGCTTCAGTGAACTATGTATGAAAACAAATATTATAATGAATGTCACATACTTGGGAATGGCATTTTGCATTTAGATATAACTCCAATGCCATTTTTAAAACTTAAATTATTTCAAAGTCTGCATAATTTTATTTTGAAACTGGCAAAGCAAAAGTAAGTGACTTTGTACATGAGTAGGACAGAGATACAACAGGCAGTGGAGACAGGACGAGCTGTAACTTCTATAGCGTAGGAACTGTTCTAGAAGAGTGTATAACAGAGGGATGGATATGCTTCACTCATGGACAGTTGGCAACTAACTTAGCTAACCACAGCTGGCATTTAGTCATCAATATTAATTTTCAAAGCTACTGGCCCTTATAGTCCACTGGGTACTCAGTTACAACTGATAACTTTTCTTCCACATTCTTAACGTTAGAAATTTTTATTAAAGTCACCAACTTGCCTATGTATAGGAGAAATCAGTAGACTATCAACATTTTTAGAATCTGAGTTTCATTTAGATTCCAAAGTCTAATTTCTGAATAGTTTAGTTTTAATATGTATATAATATATATACAGATTTAATATATACATATATATGTTTGTAAAGATTAGTGTTTAGAAGATAATTCTGTAGTGAAACAGTAAAATTCTGTGAAAAGTCTCATTACTATTGGAGTGTAAGTACACGGAGTTCTCTTTACATTCCCATTCACTAACCATATGCATTCATTATACTGTTAAAACTATATTAACAAAATACCACAATACAAAACTTTTTTAAAATTTTCTATCACCTGTCTCTGAAGTTAATCTTTAAGCATAAAGAAAAGTCTTTGAGCCCTGTGTCCAGACAGCAGCTTACACACTAATTGTGTATGGGGTTAGGATATATGCCAAAACCAAAGTTGTGCACTGCTAGCCCAGAAGAAGAGCTGTTAGCTCTGGTGTACTGGAAGTTCTGCAGTTCTTGGTAGGGGTTTTGAATTAGACCTGGACAACAATTGTTGCTTTTGGAACATGTGAATTAACTGAAGGTCAGGAAAAAAGCACAAACATATGTGTAAGACTACTTATAAAAAGACTACTGAAATGTCTTTGCACTGCCAAGCTTTATCTTCACTGTTGAATACAAATGACATGTTAAATTTACTTTCTTCATTACTCTTTTCTTCCTTTTTACTCTGTTAGATCAATATGCGTTCTGTCGCTATGTGATTGACATGTTTGCGCAAGGGGATTTTTATCCAGGTACTTTCCTATATCATTGGACTCTGTTCTAATATTCTTCTGTTTCCCTGAGAGTTCTTGCTCCTTTATGTATTAAAAGTGCATTTTGTGTTATTGGGAGGTCTCTTAAGAGCAGCAAAGAGTGTGCAAATAGTTTTAATAAAGCATAAGAGCTAATGGCTGTTTTCTTAAAGCTTTTAATTTTCTGCCTACAATGCATGAATTAAAATCAAGATTATGTTAAAAATAGAGTCAAAGGAAGGCTGTAGAAATTGCTAAAATTTTCCATGCTTTTTTTGGATTAGATGCAAAAGGAAGAAGCTTATTGTTAATAGCTTATTATTTGTTGGGGATTTTCCCCCACAAATAACAAGGCTTAAGCCCAAAATGTTTCAAAAATGAAAGTAATTTTTGTTCTTAGTACATAAAATACCTTAACTGATCTATTACTTCTGTGCTTTATATTCTCTCTTCCCACATCTCCATGCTAATCTATTCTAATGCAGACAATTCCTCACCAAAAAAGAAGATGGAGCTACTGATGATGACTGAGCATCATCTCACATTATTAAGTCACTCTATCCTGACCTTAGTTGATAGGTATTCTTCCTCCTGAAATCTAGTGTAAGAAGACTTACTATAGAAAGAACATAATCCTGGGAATGAAAAGCAATGATATTCATGAGAAGAGTCGAGGAGAGAATATTTAAGGATATACTAAGCCTTAAAAATTTTGTTTAGTTAGTTAGTTGCTCAACAAGCTCTCCACTAGTATACTTCTGAATTGGATGGGGTTTCTTATCTCTGTCTTGTGGCTTACATCCTTTCTTGACATTCAGAAAGATCTGGGAAGTCCTAAGGATGTAGCTGAGACACAAAGACTCTCACAAAGAGGAGAAGGACACAGATTTTTGTGGAGGGAAAATGAAAATCTTGGGATTCTGCAGGGAAAGGGTTTGTGAAGCCTGTTCTCAAAGAGTGACATGGAAAGGTAGGGGGTTCCATTAAAAGGGAACAAAATATTGTATCCCCTCTATGACTTTTAAAGACAACTGGTTATAAATGGAGGAACTATTTTAGGCTCATAGGGGGAGAAAGATTAACAAAACCTTCTACAGACCTTCAAGTATGCTTTAATTTACGAAGTAACTGCCTGTACCAGTGTGAATGACCTATTTTCTGCCTTTACACAGCTGTACCATCAACAAATCACATGACAAATACCTGCATGGAGATCTTCAAGATCTTTCTTACAGTTCTTCTGACATTTACAAGCAGTCGTGACACATGTCAAAGCCCCTTTTTTTCCAGATGGCTCCCTGCCCTGTTTGACACTCTCTGAAGGCAGAGTAGACATGCTGTGGGAAGGGAAAGTTTAGGTTCTTTTCAGTTTTGTCCATTCCAGCTACAAGGAAACTGGGAAAACCATGAAGGGGAGCAGCAAGGTAGAGAGGGAATTCTGTAGTGACTTGAATTTAAGAAGATAAAAAACTCTTGCTTTCCGACGTTTGTCTTGTGCCATACCAGAGTGCTATGACTAAGTTGTGTTAAGAAACCACAGATTAAACAGCTGAAAGACATTCAATGGCCATTGAGTGGTCAGATGACCTTACAGGTGAATGAACAACTAGGGTGACAGCTCTAGGCCCCAAAAAGTGAAAAAAAGTCATAAAGCATCTTAAATAATCTACTTTGTAGATTTGCAGGTGAAATTGAAAAGAACAGCCCTTTAACATCTCCTAAACATCTCGTAAAGTTCACCTGTGGCTTCACCTGTAAAGCAACTGCTATCTGACCTGTTAAATCAGTTCTTGACACCCGAAGTTGAATACTGTGAGTGGTTGCTGTGATGAAGCCAGACACGTTTTTGTGGGAGGTAAAAAAAACCCAAAAACCATTACCTTCAAATGTTTATTAATTGCCAACAAGCTTTAGTTGACCCACTAGCTGTGAAAAGCAAAACTGAAGCATCCACACTGTGTTTCTGAGAAGCAAGGTAAAGGTCAGGTATGTTCAGCCTCGATTTATAGAAATCATTGAGGCGAGTGCCACCAAAATTGCTCAGTGTTTGTTGTCTTTCTCAGGCAACCTGCTCATTTCACCCTGTCTTTTTGTGAACTGAAGTATTACTATAATTCATTTTATTGAACGTGGGGAAAACACCCTTTAATGAATCTAATATCCAACTAGCTTGAAAATCTGATATATTTTATCCTTTTATCAGTCTATATATTTTACGATAAACAACTTTGTCCAAACAAAGAGATCTGAATGCAAATCAACTGAGGAATTTAATTACAGTCAGTTTGACACCGTAATACTTTTAAAACAGGAATTATTTATATCAATCTCAATAGTGCCATTTGTGAAGGAGAAAAACCCACAATTTTCATCATCGAAAATTCCTTCACACAAGTATATTGGCTTTCTGTAGGATTGTTTGCATCAAACATGTATTTTTGTCTTCTTGAGTTTATAAGACCAGTCACCCACTTATTAGATTCCTTAAGCAAAATACATGAATGCATAATCTCAATGATAGCAATTCAGTATTTATTCTTTTATATTATTTATATTAATTACTTCCTATGTTAGATTATTTTAGTTTTATATTAATTTTAAGAAGGAATTTGTAGAAAAGTAGATCACTTAGGATGGCACTTCATAATCCTCAAATAATTAAAATTAAAAGTAAAACTCAGATCCTTACGTTTCATTAATTAAACACACTTTTCAAAACATGCAACTTAATACATTGTTACATGAACAACCTGTTGGAGGTCAGTTAATACTCTTCTGTTAATTAAAACAAATGAAGCTGATATGTTCTTCACTTACGCAAAGTTTTGTCATGATACTGAAGTCTTAGCTATAAAAAAATGAATGAAATATACGCAAGGAATTCATAGGAAGCCAAATAAGGAAAAATTCTTGCTGAGCTGCTTCATGCAGCGTTAGCTGGTTTTCTTGTTTCTCTAGCTAGTATTCATCTCTGATACTGACCAGTTGCATGCAGATCCTCCTAAAAATCACAATAATTGTATCAATATTGACTAACTTCTAAGAGTACTATTTTACTTTTTACGAAAGAGAAGTATCTAAAGTTCTCAGCCCTTTACAATAGATAACAGCAGAGTTTTAGCCATAAAGTAATTTTTTTTTTCTAAAGCAGAAATCTGTCTCAAGAATATTATGACTGCAACAGTGACCAGTTGGAGTCTACTGAGACATTTATAGGTAGCCCACTTGAGGTTTACCATATACATTATAAAAAATTGCTTTCTGAATTTATCTGTTGAGAAATGGAGCTTGAGAATTTCTTTTACTTTCTGTCTAACATGCTTGTGATAAGTGATAGTTTCTCAGAGGGACTGCTGAACCACCTTTTCTCAAAAGCATAAATTTTTTGACCTTATTTGTCGCTGGACTATGTTTCTCAACCAAATATGGGGAGTACTGTTGCAGAATTAACAAATCTCTCTGTCCAAATTGCTTTGTAGTCCTGGCTGCCTGTAAATGGAGAATTAATGTACACTTCTTCCAGGGTTAATTTCCCAAGTTTTACTTATAAAACTTAAAAACCAAAGGTGGAAAGTTTGTTTATTAAGAACTTTGGTACCTCTATTCTTCTACTGGCACTTCTGACATCCAAGATGGCCTTTCTGATACAGAAGGTAACTGACTTATACAGTTTCGCGTAATTGATAATTTGTTTGATATTCCTGTATTTTGTTCTGAGTAGAATTTCTAATGTTTTTATTCATAGTTTTATTTTTTATTGGTAGGAGAAAAGGTTCTATTTTAGTAGAAAATTTAAAATTTAATTTTGTAACTATTTTTGGCCTTAGAGAGTTTGAAATTCTCACCCACATGGATGGATTTCAGGGACACTAATTGGTCACTCTTTTAGCATGGAGCACATGATTCTCTAAGTTAACTTGGTCTACTCTATTTTATTCCTCCTGAGCCATACACCTGTTTTCCCACTCACCCCCTGCTTTCCCTGCAATGTTTGCCAGTTTGCTTTATGTTAGCACATCCTGAACTACTCTGGCAGATCAAGGAGCTGTTCTGATGAAATGCCTTTTTTGGTTTGCAGCTACATAAAGTGGATTCTTGTGTGTTTCTCTTTTTGCATGCCACCTTAGCATGGCGCTGTGCATGCTGCATACTGCTGAATTAAGAGTGATAAGTATCTCTTGGGTATTTCTTCATAACTTGGCACCTTCTCTTTCCACAGGCACACTCTCTACTCATGGTCTGATTTTGTTTTCATTTTAATCACTTAGAAGTTATTTTGTGTGCATAGTTTTATGGTGTTCTAGTTTCAGTTAAACCACTTGCATTTCACAGTACTCTGGACTCACTACTGGATGATCTTCAAGTTGCCTAGTTGGCAACAAAGACAGTGGGAGAACAGATGTGATATTATTCACAGTTTAGACCTTCTAAAATCTTTGCATGGAGGTACCCAATTCCTCTATGGAGCTTATACCACTACATACCTCTTTCTGGTAACAACTAGACTACAAAGGAATGTGGCCATATCTTTTCCTTTCATCAATTTACCCTGATATGTTTATTGTGTATTTCCATGTCAGGGAAAGTGATGTAGACAATATTGCTAATCTTATACTGTTGAACAAATATTTGCCTTGGAGAAAATCATCAGGATTTCTGGCATGTGTACATCACAAGAGTGTATCATATAGGGTAAAAGAGTCATCCCACCTTCTCATTAAAAAAATCATCGAAGTCTCACCTTTTGCACATATGCTTGTGAAAAAACAAAAAGGAAGAAAACCTGACAAACATGGAGAGTCAAGAAATTCAGGCAAATTGTGATGAGTGACCATGGGGAATCTTAGAGATTACTTTGTCCCAGAAAGAAGTGGTAGACTGAATATCACTCACATCTACAATCTTCTTCCAAGGCATACCTCTTCTCCGTTACCAAGAAGTATTCAGTCAAAAGAGAGGTATTATTGTTATTACAAAATGTGGTAAGAGAATTTCAAGAC